TTAAGATAATAYCAAGGSCTATTAGGATAATGATGTTTACATTCCAAGTTTATCTCTAGCTAGTTTGATCCTAATTCTTAGGAGATTAGGTCTCTACATTCTTTGTATAAATACTTCTCTTTGAACATGAATACAATCAAGTTTCTATACAATATTTTAAAAGACGAATCTGCTTTGGTTCCTATTCCTTCTTGGCCTTCTCTTCCTTTTTGGGGATCTTCTGTGATCGCTATTGGTTATGAGATTTACGTTTTCGGTGGATGCGTCGATGGAGAGCTTACCTCTAACGTGTTTGTCATCGATTGTCGGTTTCACACGCGTCGTTTCCTCCCAAGCATGCGCGTGGCACGTGGCTGCGCAGCCACGGGAGTTATAGACGAGAAGTGCATGTGATTGGAGGGTGCAAGGCTCGATCCGTGGATTGAATTGAAATGTTTGATCTCAAGACCAAAACTTGGGAGAGTGTTTCGGGTCCTTGTAAGGAAGAGGTGAATGAGATGACGATCAAGAGTTTTGTGATGGATGAGAAGATTTATGTTATGGATCGTACCAATAGCTTTGTTTATGATCCTAAAGAAAAGAAATGGGAGATTGAACCGGAGTTGAATAGAGGATGGAGTGTTGGTTCTTGCGTGATTGATAACTTGTTGTACGCTTTATGTTACAAGGAAATCAAAGTGTACGATCCGTATCTAAAGATTTGGAGAGTTGTGAAAGGTGTTGAAGATTTGCATGAGTTTCCTCAATGGTCTAGGTTGGAGAATTATGGTGGTAAACTTGCGGTCTTGATTGATGTTGGTATTAAATGCAATACGGAGATTATTTGTACCGAGATTGAATTGGAAATGCGCGAAGGCGAAGAGATTTGGGGAAAGATTTTATCGTCTAATCGTGTGCTTTCTATTGACGATTCCTCCAAGATTTCAAAATGTCTATGCGTAACGATTTGATTAGACACGAGACCGGTTGCAGAAAGGTACAGTATGTTTCTTAATTAAGCATTTGTGATGTTTAAAATTACATTTTGATTATATAGCTAGGAATTTCTTGACACGATATTGATCTGCCGATTTGGTTCAATAAACCAAACCTAACATATACTATAGCTAATGATATATTTTATTGTTGCGCAGCTTCAAGCCTTTATATGGATGTAGCTTCAAGTCTTTGCTTCATGTT